ATCGAGTAAAGTGCATTTCATTGAAAATCACCGATGGGGTAGGCATTGTTTGTCAAACACATGTTTTGCTATTTAATGTCACTGATACCAGGTCAGGTCACAGAGGTCAGGTCACTGAGGGTCACAATATGAAAGTATCATGTGATGCATGTTTTATGGTCCATTTTATATGCCAAATGCGATTTTGTGGGTCAGGCAGCCTTTGGGGTCAGTTCAGATTATGTTCTGGTCAAGGTCAGGTCAAGGTCAGGTCAAGGTCAAGGTCAGGTCAAGGTCAAGGTCAGGTCAAATATTTAAGTTGATATTTTTGCATACAATGGGTATCTATTCGATGCAGCTCGTCACGGGGAGTTCAATGGTGGTCTTTGTTTTGCGCTATGTGCTCTAGAATTGCCAAAAATTGAGGTAAAAAATTTGAGGTCATCAATTTTGAACAGTTTTTTTTTCGCTATAACTTGACCAAAAAAGAGGTATCGATCTAAAATTGGTATGCAGATAGAAGAGCGCAGGGAATATCACATATATTCCGGTTTGTTCGAAAGTCAAAAAACTTTTGGTTTTTTTCGTTTTTTAAAATCAACTTTTAGAATTTTGGGGATCAAAATCCCACAATTTTTAAAATCCGAGATAGCAGATTTGTAGCGCAGTCTTTTCTCTACATGACCATATAAGGAACTTTGCTTGCTTAGTAACTGTAGCTTTTGTGAGCGTTTCAAGATTTCATGTTTTTTGCTCATTTTTGCTCGAACATGACCTCAGTTTGACCTCAATAACTCCTGACCTAAGGTGACCTAGGACTTGCAATTTTGTGTGAAGGTGTCAAATTGATGCCCGATAAGGTACAAAAAATTTGGCGGCGCGCAGCGCCGCCGTTTTCTTGTTATTCAAAAAAACGCACGGGGGGCAAATTGACCCCCAGCGGGGCGAGGGTTAAAGGGACCCTCCCACCTTCAAAAAAGTTAATGAATTGGCATGAAAGTGATGTCGCTTGGTTCAGAAAGAGCAAAAATGAATATCTACCAAATTTCATCGAAAAATATTCACCGGTTTTCAAGATATTAGACTTTTACTTTTGTTTACTTTTTGGGATCTCCGCTGTTCCTAGCGACTTTATTTGAAAGTGCGGCATTTGTTGCGCGCAAAGCAGCATATACCACCGCGTGCTGCCAAACGTTTTAGTAAAAGATTTAAAAATCGTTAGATCTCCGCTGACGTCACAAATTCTAAGGGGGCATACCAATGCATTAGCCCCTTAGAATCCGAAAACTGCAAGTTTGAAATTCCATATCTCCGAATTAAAGCATTTTTCGATGTTGTGAATGCCCAAACCGGTATTTTCAGGCCATGGCCACCAATTTGGCTATCTCAACTCAAAACTAATGTTAAGGTGGGAGGGTCCCTTTAAGTATAAGAAGAGCATACCTATACTGTTTTAGTGGCATCATTTTGCATTTGAAAAGAGCGGGAACATACACTGCATAAATGTGGACATGTGGTTGTAAAACGTTGAGCCGGAATATAAATACCTACGCCTTATTTTATAAGCCTGAACTTGGATCAAGGGGTAGAGATTAAGTCATATCACTCAAGTCATAGACCCGCTTTTCACCACCACGGTCCAAGCTCCCCCCCCCCCCGGTCAACACCTTTTCCACCGCTGGTTTTTCCCTCCCCCCCCCCCCGTCAGCACCTTTCGTCGCCGCCCCCACCGGCGTCCGTGGCTCAGCCCCCCCAACCTATTTTGCGATCCTACACCCCTGCAAGCTGCCTGCTATATCTGGAGCTTGGTGTTCAACTTCAACATGGAATAAAAAACAAAATATCAAAGCAAACTGGATATGGTACTGCAAGTTAATTAAAGTCCAAAGAAATTTGAAGAGCTGACAATTGACATTAATTCTTTTCCTGCAAGGTTTCCATATGGAGATCACAGTCACACCATGAAGAAATATTTTTGATGTTAACAGTTGAAAGGGGATTTATCTTCCAGTTTTGACAAAAGACGCTGCTGACTGTCTTTGGAAAAGGATGTCGGCATGAGGTGCAATTGTGCTTGTGAAGTGGTTATAACTGGTCTTTTCACAGTATTAAATTAAATGTGCCATTGCAGCCAAGTGTGTTATCATGTAAGGTAAAATCAAAACTACAATGTTGGTTTTACGAGCATTGAGAAGGCTGGTAGGTAACACCTGCCTGTGCTCGTAAATCATGCTGCCAGAGTATTCTAAATTAATTTTATCATACACTTTTGTTGTCCAGAATGGTTGCACTATTGTTTGGTATCATATTATTCCATGTAAATATGGTAGTGTAAAGTCCGACCAACATGTTACCAGATTTGAAGCTGTTACGTTACCTAAGTACCTACCTGTTTTTTACTGGCGTGGTGAATGTCACCTGGATTTTGTTTTGAGGTGCAGACCTAGTAACTCTGACTACATGGGTTTGAAGCTATTATCTATTCTGTTTTTACTGGCCTGGTGAATGGCGACTGATGTTGTCCGTGGATGGCACTGAAACAAATTTTGAGTGTTTTGTACAGTGTTTTAATACAATGCTGAGGACTGAAAGTTGTCTTGTTTAGAGTGGTGAAAGTTCAGGATATGCCAGCCACCATGGTGGGTCAGAGTTAAATGTGTTGCAGTCAGTTCGGCTTCGGCAAGCACACGGATGGGCATACGCATCAAGACCTGCTCTGCCATACTTTCAGCCAATTTTACCTAGGTAAGTCTTTTCTTTTTTCTGCCAAAAGCTATGACATTGTGAATTTCAGCACTGTGGCCTGTGTGTAGCTTTCAGGAAAGCAATTCTAAATAAAGCTCTGATAAAGTGCAAAATCAGCAATGCAGCCCTCTATTACATTTTCTACAACATCTTACTTGTTCCTTGCATGGAGAGAAAAATGCAATGTTATGAATTCGTTTATTCACATAATTTGACAAGCATGCAGTTACCTGCTACTATCACTGCACAAAACAGAGCAGAAAACATCAGTTGATCAAACACAAGACATAACAGAAGTTTACAACATAGGGCTGCCGAACCTGCTTCCTCCCACCACAGTTGATGCCATTTCCTAGCCTGGCTTGATGTGAGCACTGAATAGCTGCTTTGTCTAATTACAGCTCACTACCATTCAACTTAAACTACTCTCTTTAAAGTAAGAGTGAGAGCGTTCAGTGTTCATAGCAGCTCGACAGACGACAGACAACAAACATCTTGACAAACCAACCAGTATTTGATTTGGCTAATGATTTATGTGCTTGTTGTATCATGGCCAAACTACTTTAACAGCAATAATCCCTGTTTCATCTTGATCTTGCTTTTATTTCCATTTGAACTCAGATCTTGAAACAATCATCTGAAGTGATATCAGATACTGGCTTCTGTTTCTCTTGAAAGCAAGTTAAAACAACAATGGTAAACTAAGGCAGGAGATGTGAGTTGTGGCAGTAGATTTTTGATTCAACATATGTCAACCTTATATTGCTTGAGACCTCTGTGACAGACAAACAAATATTTATAGTTTTTTGATAGTTTGGATTCTTGGCTTGATTTAGCAGATCAGCTGTGAACCTTGACTTTGAAATCACATAAATGTCATGGTACCCGAACGAATCCTCGCATGACATTTCTTCGTAGCACAATTTTTCGTCCGCATTTCTTCGTCTACAAATCTTCGTCGGTGCATTTATTTGTCCCTCAATGCTTACTCTTGCATATATTTGCGTTGAAGAAGAAATGCGAGCCGATTTTCATATACCCTGGTGCGAGACAAAGTAATGCGATAGGTACGAATAAATGCCCTGACGAAGATTTGCAGACGAAGAATTGCGATACGAAGAAATGCCATAAGAATTCAAATTGTCCTGGAATCCTTTATTGGCCATCATATATTGACCTTGATAAGATAAACGCATCATTCGCGCAATATTTGTCGCACTTTGATACCAAACTATTGCTTCCAAATGCCGACGTAAAGAAAACCTTTATGTGACGTCATGGAAACAGCGGATTTCCCAAAAAGTAAACAAAAATAAAAGTCTTATATCTCGAAAACGGGTGAATATTTTCCGGTAAAATTTGGTAGATGTTCATTTTCGCTCTTTGTGATTCACGCTACATCACTTTTATGCCAATTCATTAACTTTTTTGAAGGTGGGAGGGTCCCTTTAAAATTGACGCAAAACTGACACGGAAAATTGCACGCTATGGATGGTCCAACTACATTCATGTGACAGCATTGCTAGTTTCAAGGGGAAACATTCGGCGGCCATCGCACCATGCCAGCGTCGTACCGGAAAAGTACATCAGCCGTCAGCTTGTAGCGTCAATTTACCTATCGCCCCCAGGCCCCAGCGCGCGTCTAATACCTCAATCCGCATTCCATCCAGGCAACTTCCTCTCCTTTCTTTCCCTCTGACAAGACTACTTGCAAATAAGATTCTGTGTGTCCTGCAACAGGTGATGTAACAGGACAAAGACAAAGCCTGTTCCGAAAGGGGAGAGAAATCATCTCCGACACGACCTATCCCAGAGGATGACTCACATTTAACACGGCTCGTCCTGCAGCGGACAGGTCCTAGTATGGAAAATGGATTGTCCAAAGGTATGACTTCCCTGCTTCTCACCCTATCCCAGATTCTCTCACTCTGTCTCACTCACTTACCTCTGACACGGCCTGCCCCAGCGGGTGGAAGCGCAGGTCCGGGCGGACCGGTGTAACCCAGCGGTATAACCCACCTCTGACACGGCCTGCCCCAGCGGGTGGAAGCGCAGGTCCGGGCGGACCGGTGTAACCCAGCGGTATAACCCACCTCTGACACGGCCTGTCCCAGCGGGTGGAAGCGCAGGTCCGGGTGCACCGGTGTAACCCAGCGGTGTCACCCACCCTGTCCCAGCGGTGTAACCCACCTCTGACACGGCCTGTCCCAGCAGTTGACTCACCTGACACGGCCTGGCCGCGGTATGACCCATCCCGTCCCATCGGTATAACTCACCTCTGACACGGCCTGTCCCAGTGGGTGGAAGCGCAGGTCCGGGTGCACGGGCGAGGTGAGCTCGGCCTCGTCTGCCGTCCAGTCCGGCAGATGCTCCACCGCCTCCGGCTGTGGAAGAAGACCATATGGTTACCCAGGCGGTCACAGGGTAGCCTATCGGCACAGCGGAATACCTACAATCGGTGGAACAACCAGCTCAGAGCCCAGGTGGCCGAGTAGGTTCGTCAGAGACAGAGACAGAAGAAGCGGACGGGGGAACGCAGTCGGTGGAGCAATGCAGCCGCCCCAGGGCCCAGATGGTCAGTTAAGTTCGACAGAGACAGACACAGGCGCACCGGACGACGAGGGATCACAGAAGGTAGAACATCTGCTTCGGACGGTTAACAGGGGGTCGGTTAGACACACAACTTTGTCGAGAGAGCACGGTCGACAGGGGTCGACAGAGACAGATGCTCCGGACTGGGAAGACGGTCGGTGCGGTCGACAGAACAAGAGTTGCGAGACCCGCCCATCGCTCGTAGCCGTCAGCGCGTTTCTCGTTCGGTACGTTCGGTAGACGGTAAGCGAGACACCTACATGTCTGGGGAGCAGTGTAGCTGTCCGCGGGGGAAGGAGGGCCCGTCGGCGCGGCGGACAGAGAGGCATGCTGTCGTGTACAGTGGTATCTCCGAGGGCCGTGAGAGATGTAACGTTTGTCAGCGTCTCAGCTTGTCCGGTAGATGAGAGCGTCAGGATGTTGCAGAGTGGCAGACTCCTACACCAAACGTCGGCAAACATACACCAGCCACATGTGACAACAGCGATACCAACTTGAAAAGCACTTCGCAACAGATCACTACAAACCCCCACCTCGCCACAGACGAGACACAACGAGCGCGTCCTCACCACCGCACACAGAAGGTCCGACTGGACGACTGGGGACCAGCCTCTGCCATCCGGCCGACGCTCCATTCCGGGACATCTCCCCTGTCGGCGTCACACCGACGCCCAACTCCGACACCGACGCCGACGAGTTCGACACCGACGGGCTCCGGTGACGGCCGGCCGACAGCCGACACTCCCACCAGGGCCTAACACGCGTCTCCTCACCGGACACTTCGAGCCCAGCCCCGCCCATTGGCCGTGAGTAGCGCCGGAACCCAACGAGTAACACAGGAGCGTCAGTAGGGGGTACAGCCGGCATGAAACAGACACCAGGGCTTCCGACCGACACCGGACGCCCTCAGGACGTCCCAGGTTACGAACAGTCAGTCGGCTGAGCTACTGACGCGGCGGCGCGGTCCTTGATGAACGAGGTACAGTCGGAGACCGACCGGCACCCGCACACGTGCCGGGAGCGACAGCGGCGACCACGCGGAGCGAGCAACAACAGGCCACTGTCGACGGGAAAAGAGTTGGGGGATATGCATTAAGAAGGGGATGGGGAGGGAGAGAGGGAGGGAGGGAGAGGGAGAGGGAGAGAGAGAGAGAGAGAGAGAGAGAGAGAGAGAGAGAGAGACAGACAGACAGACAGACAGACAGACAGACAGACAGACAGACAGACAGACAGACAGACAGACAGACAGACAGACAGACAGACAGACAGACAGACAGACAGACAGACGGACGGACGGACGGACGGACAGACTCCGACAGACTCCGACAGACAGACCGACAGACAGACAGACTGACTGACAGACAGACCGACAGACAGACCGACAGACAGACCGACAGACCGACAGACAGACAGACAATACAATACAATACAATACAGACAGGCAGACAAGGTCATGGTCAAAAGCTGGAGCCAGAAGGCCGGTGAACGAGGCTGGGACGGCAGCGAGGGGTGGATTGAAAGGGGGAAAGAGGTAAGGGGAGAGCCGGTGACCAAAACAAGTCGGGGAACAATGGCAAAGGGTACGGGGGCCGGCCAGAGTGAGGGGTGCAGGGGCGGAAGATATGGATGGATAGAGGGTAGGGAAGGGAAGGAGGGAGGGGACCGACTGAGTCGGGCAAACATTCCCGACTGGCCTGCGCTGTGTGTTATGTGTGTGACTAGGAGTAAATATTGACGGTATGAGAGCCGTTCCGACGCCACAGAACGGCCGCCTCGCCGGTGGTCCTGGGCCAGAACCGGCCGTGCCGGCGAGGTAGGTAACGCAGGCGCCAAACGTAGAGTCTGTGCACCAAGCGCCCCTCAGCAAGCGCCCTTCGCTCCATTGTTTGGATTTTTTGCCGACCACTATTCCTCCTTTTCTTAACCACAGCTCAGTCAATCAGTCAGAGCGTGGAAAGTCAGGTTGCAGTGGTAGATATAGCATGGGGGGAGCTGTAGCAGTGCTGCACGGCCCGGCGCCCGTCCCGACCCAGCGGCGTTATAACGCGCAGCCGGTGCCACGGATCACGCGTGACGCGCCGCCGACCACCAGCCGTGACCAGCACTGTGTCATTGGCCACGCACAGGTAGCTACTTACATCCGTCCCTCGTCTCCACAGTGGGTCACATTAGTCACAGCTGCCACCGACATTACATTACAACCGGCCTCAGTGCAAGACTGCGACGGAGTTTGCATCTCATAATGTTACAAGCCGATTTCATCCCGAAGAGAAAGCAAGGGTGGCTAATCGAAAACAATGGGCGCCTACTGGCCTGTCCACACCGGCTGAAAGCAGAAAGGCGGATCAGAGAAAGAAAGTGGATTAGCTACAGTAGTGAAAAGTGAGCCCGAAAGAAATGGACGGGTATTAGGGAGAAAATTGCGAGACAAACAAGAGGGATGCAGAATAACAAAATAGGGAGAGTGAGTGTGTGAGCGAGAGCGTATGTGTGAGTGAGCGAGTGAGTGAGTGAGTGAGTGAGTGAGTGAGTGAGTGAGTGAGTGAGTGAGTGAGTGAGATAGGAAGAGGAAGAGAGAGAGAGAGAGAGAGAGAGAGAGAGAGAGGAACGGAGGGGAAAAAAGAGGGATAGAGGGACGCAGAGGAAGGAGAGAGTGAGGAGAGGCACGGCTCTGTCCATTGTTGGTAGCAGTTTCGGTTCGTCCATTGTCAAACCGTGACCGGCGCGAGCACGGCTCACAATGGTCGCCGGTGGCACTCCATGAATAGCTTCTGATCACCGTGAGAGGGGGGGGGGGCAGCTGGTTGACACAGACAGCTGGTTTACACAGACGGTACCAGCTGTCGCCGACACGGGCCTACCAGAGCCGGCTCTATACGGCGTCAGCCGGCACGCGAGCGGGTCCCCTTGCGTTGCCCTTAGTCTGCCCGAAGAGCATAGATCCAATCGATCTCATGGGGAGGGTGGTCACTGGTCAGTGGCCCAGTCTTTCCTCTGGTCGGACAGCCCCGCGCCAGAGTCACCACTGCACTGGTGGCAGGGGAGTCGCCCATTCGACCAACAGACAGCGAGCGCAGGCCAGAAAACGCACAAAGTGATACCGAGAAAACCCACCAGCGGACAGCAGCGGCAGGTAAGAACACCCAGCAAATAACGGCGAGGACAGGTCAGAAGACTGCGCCACGACGCACCGTAAACAAACGCCATCGGGTGGTCCAGCACAGCGAGACCCACCGCACGCAGTCCGGCACGCCCACAGCGGGACGTCAGCGTTGGACCGCTGACAGACGTAAGACAGTCGCCCCACCGCTGGGTCACCGAGACATAAATTCAATAAAGGTATGCGAGATATGATCATAATCTGACCATAAAACGATCAGTGAAATTCCGGCCGGACGGTGGTTGGTAGTGCGTTTACTCGTCTCCCGTAGTGGGCAGGTCTAGCCTAGTGACCGCTGCCGCCGACCGCCGCCGCTGAGTAGCCTCTAACCGCATCCCATCAGCGTCCGTTACCTCCGACGACCACCCGTTGTCGCCAGAAGACAGTCCGGCGGACCGACGCGCACCATAAAAGCGCCGCCGACCGCCCGAGTCGGCGCCGGGTGCCGTGGCTGCAGCGGGAATTAGGCGGCGCTCGGCTCACGCAGCCGGCTCCGTCACGCTCCAAATGCGCCGATTCTCACGCTCGAACGCGGCGCACATCGTTGCCGGCGTCGGTGCGCCGCTGGTTTGCCGCAATGTCGCCGTTTGTCGTCGTCGTATGTCGCCCGGGGCGCCACCGCGGCGCCGCGACGGCAGACGCCTGGTGGCGGTCATGTGAACTGAACATGGGACGCAGGAGGAATGCCGCTCCAGCACCAAAAGGAAATTGGGATCAGCAAGGCTTTGACTTGTGTGCACGAATTCTACTCCGATATGGCTATCAGACCAACAAACGGTGCCACAACACCGATATCGTCAGGTCCATGTCACATTGCTGACAGTGTTTCATCTTTTACACGGCTTCGTGGTTCACCTGACGGAAGCTTATCAGCCAGGCTTCATTCCAATGTCAGACAGGTAACCTATCCACAGCTACCCGACCGGGAGCAGGAGATGTCTACGGCAGACATGTGCTGATCGACGATGTTACCAAGTGCAGTCTTGATCTGACGCCGCTATGGGCCCGCCAAATACGGTCGACCTGGCCACTCTACACCATCACTATTGACAGCTATCGCCTATCACTGTGCACGGTGACACGTCCGAAAATAATCCATCAGCAACACAATCGGTCTAATTTCGAACGTAGCCAACTACAAGCACGCCAGCCATGATACTATTCGCAGTCAAGTACGACGCACTGTCATTCACGTCTATATTTGGCTGTTCGATATCCTCTATCGTTCGCGCTTCACCAGTCATGTCTACTCTAGCCCATCGCTGATTTCCCGCACCTCCAGCTGTGCTCTCCGCCGGGACAGACGAGCTGACAGAGTGGGAGCGGCGCACCCGCCGTCAGATCGTCCATCCATCGCGCCGTGCACAGCCGTGAAGAGCCGCGTGCACCGTGCATACCTGACGGCGGCCGGCAGGTGGGGCGGGACGCCGACACCTGCACCGTGGCCGAGCGCTGAGACGGGGCAGCGGGGAGCGGGGATCACAGCGGACCGGCCACGGCGGGTCAACTCTGGATACCGAGTCGGGTGGGGACATGCATTGAATACGCAAGCCGAATATGATGAATTCGATCAAATGGCTGATGGGAGAGGAGAAAAACTTATATAATTGGTCTTAAAAATAGACGGAAAGA